TCTGGTCTACTAGCTAGTGGTACCATCTATTGTCTGGTCTACTAGCTACTGGTACCCATCTATTGCCTCAAAATAGTTTATATAATTTCTACAATTACATATTAGCGCTTCTGTGACAATCGGAAAATATTGACACACAAGTGTTGTATTGCAATGTGTGTATTGCTGACGTGTATCCCACAATCCTGGTTCAAATGTACTTGGAAGTGCTTTCCATATCACAAGTCCCAGGGATGGAATTTGTGTGATGCTATCAGGATGTGAATAATTGTTTCATTGTTAAAGTTCGATAAAAAATTAATCAGTATCAGAAATCTGAATACAAAAGCAACAAAGTGGAAAAATCTAACTTTCATCACTGTTGTCTCCTCAAGACTTAATCTCGTTACGTCCCCGGCAATCGCCCTCTGCCGCTTACATCAATAGACATGCTGTAAACACTGTATCGCCTGGCCGTCTAATAGCCACTTCTTTGCCGAAACAGTAAGGCACTTGCAATTGATTAGTACTCCATGCTCATAGTAATTCCCAAGCAATAACATTAACGGCAATATCACTGCTAATCAAGGGAGGATGCATGCTGCGTTTATTCTTAATGTTATTCCCCATCGCGTAAAACACTTCCTGGTATTTCGTACAACTGCCGTGTGGGATATTGAACAAAGTCGTGTTGGTTGAGTGTTGCACCTCGGCCTTTGGGGGAGGTGATCAGCTGAGGTGGAGAAACACAAGAAATATACATTGATTTCCTTCGACATGAAAGAGACGTGGCTCTGCCAGATGATCTGGTTTGTGGATGGAACTGGAAATAGTTGTGTGGGAAATACTGATACTTGGACATGTGAGATTTATGTAAACAGTCTAGGTGCTAGGTAAGAAAAGGTGGTGTTAAATGTTGGTGTAAGGAGAATCCATTGTTTCAATTTCATCTCTCCTTGCAAGTGTTATTTGGTTAAATGGTTTTGCTTTTGCTTTCAACAAAGCATCAATTTCAAGTTATAACCTTAAAATTTCAACTTATTGTCTTGAAATTTTAAGATCATCTATCTTGCCCTTTTTGGAAATTGGTTTTGGAAATAGTATATGAGATTGGGAATTCTACCATGAATTTGGAGTTTACCTGATTCTGATTGGTCAATCAGAGGCTATTAAATCACAATAAACCCCCTCTGATTGAAACAGCTGGTTTGACGGCCGCTTCACCGTGGAAGCTAATATTCATAGAATAGTACTATTTTCAGTCATTGTCGGTAGGCATATCTAAATAATTATATCTACAATTACAGGTTACAAAATGCACAGATGCGGTTACTACAATATTCAAAAGATGTGTGGCAATACATTTTGTGCAGAAAAACACGACAGAAATCAACAAAGGGAATGTATTTACGTTTTGGAGACAACAGAGAGCTTGGAATTTCGGCGCTTTTCTATATACAACATAGCTACTTGAAATCAACAAAGGGAATGTATTTACGTTTTGGAGACAACAGAGAGCTTGGAATTTCAGCGCTTTTCTATATACAACATAGCTACTTGAAATTTCAACAAAGCATCTTGAAATAATATAATATAATATAACATTTGAAACCTAATCTCCTAATTAAACATGACTAAAAATATTTATTATTATTTTGGGGGGGAAATTAGTTAATGTTGCTAACGGACTGGTCATTTATTAGGGGGGGACATCAAAAAGGGGGGCACCAAATTTTATCACAACTATATTTGGGGGAGGGCCATGGAAATTGACTCAGTTCTACTTTTTCAAATAAAAAAACTTTATTAGGACTGTTCATTTGTTATAGGGGGAGAAGGGAGGTGCTGGAATAAAATGTTATATTTAGGGTGTGGGTGGCATTTTCTGTGTGCATTTGTTGGTGGTTAGAAAGTTAGAACACAGGTCATCCAATGGTGGGGCTCATCCAATGGGTGTACGTCATTTGGATCATGTGTAGTGCAATTATGACCTGATAATATGCTCCTACAAATACACTTTTTCCACACTGCCGCTTCAGCTGCAGGGATGAGATTTACACAGACGCCCGAGCTGTGAGTTGGAGTGGAAAGTGAAAAGAGGAATTTGTGCAAACTGTTCACACAGATGCGCTATTCAAGGAACACAAGTATTTGGCTGTGCTGTAAAACAGATAGAGGACAGTACTTTGTCAGGATAAACTGAAACAGTTGCCAGAACCATATTTATATCCCGATAAAACGCTGTCACTTGTCTTCTAACTATCACTTGATACAGTTTAGTTTGAACTGTGACGTAAACGCAGTGTTGGAATCGATGTAAACACAGTGGTGGAAACACTGAAAGTACTCCATCAACCTGCAAAATGATACCATTTGCCCTTTGTTTCGTCTGAATGATATCTTCAGATTCTGTACTCCCTCTGGGGTCACCAGGTTTATTAATCCAAATAGTGGTTACATCATATCTTTTTGCAAATTGAACTTTGTCGTCTTCAGTTTTGAGTACTCTTGATTTCAGTATATATATATATATATATATTTCATAGGCCAAATGCCAAAGTCCTATACCAGACTAATTACAATGTGCATGTTACAGGTATTTATAGACTGCAATAATATAGACCCTTAGGTTTTATCCTATACCTTTTTTAGCTGAGAATATTTTTATTTTTATTTTATTTTAATATATGATATACAGACTTTGTAAAGGTAAACAAAATATTGGCTTGTGCCTTGCAACATGCTAACAAATTTATTCATATTCAGAAACTTATATATATGTAAAGTTTTTGCTAACTACCGTTTTCTGGTCAATTCATATTTTGGACTTAACATTATAACATGCTATTCATGTTCCACATCATTTGTTCTCAAAGAGCAAAATCTTTCATTAGTTTTTATCTTGGATTACCTCTGATTACATTACAAGACCTGTGAAGATTCGGGGTAGAATAGGTCTTCAGCAACCCATGCTTGCTGGAAAAGGCGACTATGCTTGTTGTAAGAGGCGACTAATGGATCGGGTGGTCAGGCTCGCTGACTTGGTTCATTGTATCCCAATTGCGTGGATCGATGCTCATGATATCAATCATTGGATTGTCTGGTCCAGACTCGATTATTTACAGACCGCCATCATATAGCTGGAATATTGCTGAGTGCAGCGTTAAACAACAAATTAACGAACATTACAACAGTACTAATGTATTCTTACAGACATGGTTACAAATCGCAATTATATTTGTTACAAGTTCAGTTATAAAACTCCATGATAATCTATAAAATGGCAGTAATGAACCAAATCGTCTTAAAGAATCTTCCGGCTATCAAATTAGTTGCGCATCTAACTTGATCTTAATGTTTCGGCACTCTGATAGTCCAGGTCGGATATTCTCCAGATGGGGCTAATAAAGGAGATACAAAATTGTTATGAGGCATAAACCATATCACTTTGTTATCACTGGTGCAGACCGTTGAGTTAGGGTCTTTAATATCTGAGGGGGTCTCCCTGTCTTGGATCCAATAGGGGGAAATGTTTTGGCACGGGATGAACATTTTTTGTCGACAAGGCATCAAAAATAAAAAGTATTATCAAAATATCAATTTTGAATTATACAGATCTGATCTTGTCTGACAGGATTGCACTGCAAGATTAATGTATATTCTGTATCACCAAGTTATCATTGATAAAATAAACACGGAGCCATTTGCTGAGGAATGTTTCAGTGCTAGTGGTTTATGTAGGTTTGTGGGTAGATTTAATGTTCCAATAGCCAGTGTGAAAATAACCTTTAACTTCTTGTACTGCATTCTGTTGTTAATCCTACTGAAAGTTTTCTTCTGTCTCCAAACAGGTCTAAGCTATTTTCTCCTGTATCAACAAGGTATTTTCTTCAAGTTAACTTTCTTCCAAATACGTCCAATTCTTTGTAGATGGAAAGTCAGTGTTTGTTCCCAGTCTGTGTGAGTTGGCTGTCAGACACTACACTCATTACAGCCGAGAATCCATCGGATTTAGGTGTTAACTGGCAATTGACACTCAGCTGATGGAAATGTACATCGTTCCTCGGTGGGCTCCAACTGCGTCAATTTCAAGCATACCTCCACTGTGGACTGGTTAGCATACGACTGTGAAATTTTAAGCTTGGTTGATTTTTTGTTTCACCTGGAAACACCTGAGCTCTTCACCTGCGATTAATAATGACAAGTCGCCCAACCAGGTGTCAAACATGATGAAGCACTCCGGCAAATATTTCACGTTGATTTCACGCTCATGTCTTGTCTATTGCTTGGTGGAGGCAGGCTTCCACAGGCTAACTCTGTGGTCAGATATGTCAGAGACTCATGCTTGCGAATCAATTTCATTGGGGCATTGTGAAGGTAGGCTGAACTGTTTATGACTGAAATCATGTCTGCTTCCGTCTGTGTAGGTAGTAAAGGGATAAAACAATTGTGTATGTGCTTTGTGTCTGACCCAGGGACTTACAGGTGGACTCTGGACTAGCGTATGTCCAGGTTAATTTAGTCACAAATGCACACTTGACTTGAAGCACAACTTAGCACCTTCACGTAAGTGTTTTTAACCCAGGGTTGTTGTTTTTTTTTTCTTCCAAAATGCACTTCAGTAAGGCAGGGCTTGATTTAACTATTTTAACCTTGCACCAGTTCAATCTATAATTGAAAAATGTGTCCTAATATTTCTGTCAACGTGCACAAAGTAGATGTTAAAAAAATTCAAATTTGTGTCTGGCTAAGCCTTACTTTTCCACACATAAACTGGTTTTGTCTGGTGCAACTTAGTTTTTTATATTAACATGCACTTGGTGCAAGTTAAATCAAGTTCCCTAAATTGAATCCTGGTAAGGAATTACTTTGAATTTCTTCTGGCTAATGCAATGATGAATCTTTTAAATCTCATTATTTAATATAATTTAAGAGGCTTTCTATACAACAGTTAACAAAAGCTATAAAATTATATTTGCTAAATTTGTATCTTTGAATAACCAAAATATGTCTTATCAAATGTGTTAGGTCACATTTTCAAAAACAAATTAAAAAAATGAATGAGTAAAATTTACTGAACTCTTTCATTGATTGAAGGGGTTGAAAGCCATGTGATGAAATGTACAACACATGTCAATATCCTGACTGCCAATCAAGTGGCCATGTGGCCCTACTTAGACCTTGTGCATCCCTCATTAGCCTGGACCAGCTCCAGCCCTGCATCATGTAGATAGCCAGTGTTACACAATGTTACAGGGTTTAATCCCCAGTTGTGAGGAGAGGCTATGAGTCAACTGACACCAACCAACACTAGGCTTATCCCTCCTCCCAGTCCTAGCATCCCATACTGCAGGCCTTCACTTTCATACTGACAAACACACTGCAGTGTTCATTTCACTGTGTAGGTAATCAAGTCGTGAGTCTATATTCTTTCCACTGGAGTGCCTGGGAGTTTACGATTGTTGCCAGAATCTGTGGCTCCCATTGTGGGAGTATTTGTGAATCTCGGCTGTCTGTGGATTACTGCGGTGGTATGTGATTCACAAAGGATGATAGACGGAGAGAGACGTAAGTATCCACATGTACATCTCACAGCTCAATGTGGTACATGTCGTACATGGTTGTATATTTCGCTCAGGATGATGTTCATTTCATATAGGTTCATTTGCTGATTGACATCTGTTGCTTGTGGCGAGGGTTTCATTGTGGTAGTGATGTTGGTCATACTTGTATATTGCCCATACTGGCTCGTATATTGCACATACTGGCTCAAGATTTGAACAGCTTTCGTTAATTGTGTGCCATTCATAGATTAAATGTTTGGGTGACTTCAATGTCCTCATAACTTGGTTTATGTCAATCATTTGTTTCTCAATTACAGATAATTAAAAAACAAATTTTGAAGGATTTCTCAAGATTGTAGTGGAGTTAGTTTCATGTGACTGTGTGTTTCTTGTGAGTAGCAAGTAGATGCTGATCAAATATGATGTGTACATCTGTGAACTTACACACCAAAGTTCACTGTGAGCATTCTGTTTCCAGTATTTTGTCAATGTTGTCAGTTGGGGATTTGTTTATTTACTATCTCTGCATGTCATAGACACCTGGAGGCCAAGTGTTTGTTTACTTGTTTATTCAACTTAAGTGGAGATCAGACTTGTCAGTTTGCTAATGGAAAAATTGAATATTCAAGGTATGTTTATGATGTGAGCAGCAGGGTTGAAGAGCAGTTCATTATGTAAGTATGCCCTCGGGACAGACAAATAATTACAGCTGTGATCACAGGCCTCCTTTGAAGTCATTGTCCAGCGGTCATCATCATTCATCAGTGGTCATCCATGTAATATATCTATTTGTCAAAGTATTTATACAGATTTTGTTTTTGATGAGCTGTTGAAAATAATATTAGAAAAATTTTGTAACACATTTTCAAAGATACAGCTAGTCTGTCTTACAGACCCTGATACAAATATATATATCAAATACAGCCCATGCAAGTCTATAATGTTTGGCAAGTCTAGATAACTGCAGTATCAGGAAATGAAGAGAGTCACTGGGCTCCCTTTTACTATATTTTTATTCAGATAACTGAACTTTTTTGTGTACGATATGTTCATTTCGGAGACTAGATGTTAGTCTAAGGTACAGCTACAATATTTACCTCCCTGCATCATTGTCTTATGTTTTATAGTGGTCGGTTCTTGGCATTTTTATGATCCCCTTTAGGTTAGGTGGGAGCTGTGAGGGGTCAGGTCTGGTGCAGGGCTTGTGTGCTGGACCCCCAACATCCCCCATGCATGGCTAGGCTCCTTTTATATTATTTATTTTAGGTTTTGGATGCAGACAGTGAATAATCTGTTCCGATGGATGTATATAGTACATGACATTCTTTATGTTTATCAGAGGTTTGAAAAGTCCTGGTCACGAAGTGTATTATTATGATTATTACTGTTTCCGTTGTAAAGTATTTGACTTGTATCAGTATGGCTGCAGGGACCCCAGTAGAGACTGAAGGTTGTGATAGGTTCCCAGCAACCTATGCTGGTTGTAAGAGGCGAACTGCCTCCCTGGTCTAGTAGTAGAGCATCTGCCCGGAGGGCGGAAGGTCTGGGGTTCGATCCCCGGCCGCGTCATACCAAAAGACGTTAGAAGATGGTACATGTTGTTACCCTGCCTGGTGCTCTGCAATAAGGGGCTAAAACAAGGACTGGTTGGCTCTGAGTCAGTATACTGTGTCTGAGTGGGGTATTCATGTTAAACAGATGGCATGGATCATTGCTCATGATATCAATCACTGGATTGTCTGTTCAAGACTCGATGATTTTTACAGGCAGCTGTCATAGAGCTAGAATATTACTGAGTGCTGCGGTCAACAACAAACCAAAAGGTATGGCTTGACCTTACACGTCTCATCAGCATGTTGAACCACCTCTATGGTCTGGTAGATAGAGTGTCTACCTGGAGAGTAGATGGTCAGTGGTTGAAGCCCTGGCCACATCATACCAAAAGATGTTAAAAGCTGGTACTTGTTACCTAGTCTGTCTCACAGTCCCTGAACCATACTATTTTGCCTTCTGCCCAGCCCTCACAGTAAGGCTATAGTTTTAAATGAAGCAAGTCTAGATTTTCCACAGGTTCAGGTTCTGAATCTCCCATCTCACTGGGGCTCCTTTTCAAGTTAATTTGACTAAGCATTAGTCTGCCTGCCTGCCAATGGTTTGGCTCGGAGTCAGAATACTGTGTCTGAGTGTTATATCTGTTAAACTGCATCATGCTATCTTAGTCGGCGAGCACTTTAAACCAGAATGTTATAAGCAGCCAAACACACATGCATACAACATGCTATATGAGTGCAATAATCTTGAACATGTTGTTAAACCCCATTTCACCTCACGTAGAACCCGTAATATTAATATATATTAAAGGGATCCTCAAGATTGATCCCAGAGTTAGCACAAGAAAGGTAAAATCCTAAAATAATGTTTATTCTTAACACCTGACGGATAAACTTTCTTCAAATATTTTCCCCCTCCCTTATTGAGGGCACAGTGATGATATAAACGCTTGCAGTGTAAACTAGATGCTTCTGTTGACCAATGATAGACACAATGTTTGAGTGTTTGTGTGTTGATCCACAGCATTGATGTGCATTGCAGCCCTGTTCGTCAGGGGCTATGGGTAATTGATCACACATCAGTGTATTTGGTGGACATGCCTTTTGAAATTGACAACCAGGTGCAATGTCGATTTCAGACAAGATGTTTATTTTGGATGTACATTTCACATATCACGTATTTGTTTGGTTGTAGCCAGAACAAATCCTTACCAGTGTTTATGTCAGGGACTTTGTTGAAACATTCCTCGAATAGTCCAGTTATTTTTGTAAGAAAATACAGTGTTGCAATGTTCCTACCTTGACAGTATGTGTGGTATTTACCTCTGATGAAAAGAATTAAGTGAAAAAAATGCATCAGTTGTTAATTTGTGAAATGTGACACCTTTGATGAAGATAAGATTACAGATTGGATGGTATTTCAAGCCTGGGAGGCCACAAAGCAATGAGGCGGCCATGTTTTATGGTTGTAAATGGGCCATGACTCCTCCAGCTAATACAGCTCTGTTGGATAACAGGATGTCCCTAGTGGATGGCAAATGAACCACGTTGCTTTAATTAATTCCCTTAATTCCAAAAACCTGCTACAATGTTTTTATTGTTGCCTGATAATTCATCACATGTCTTACATCTTACACAAAATTGGTTGAGAGTTTTTGTGAATTCCAAATTTCTGCTTTACTTATATTCCTCTAATGTTGATTATAAGGAGAATAAGTTAAATAGGTTTAGAAGGTGCCGTTTAGGAGAAAGGAGATCATTTAGGAGATGAGATTGTTCTCTGTTTTCAGATTTGAGCAATACATATTATCTGATACCCAGACATTTAATTTGGAACCAATGGTTGACCCGAAATTTCATGGTTTCCAAAAGGGGTCACTTGACCAACCCCTAATGAATTATATTGGAAATTACGTTTGAATCTGGTTTGGACGTGCGGAGTATATATCATAAATGCCATACTTTCACTCGTTAAGAGTTATATTTGTTGCAGTTTGACTATTATATGTCAACATAAAGTTTCACAGTCGTGAGCTCAGGACGGTGATTGGTCAAACTGTTCCATACGTAAAAAATAGCGATCAGATGTATGCTTATAGTTAACAATTTATTATAAATATACTTAGTGAAACTGCAACTAAAAAAACACGATATTGGAATATATTATTCCTGATAAAATAATAATTTCAGGTACAATTCTTCCAATCACTGCATCAAAATTCGTTAAAGTTATATTATTGGGTATCTTTTCTCCAAAATACCAGTAAGTTGCAAGAAAACGTGTGTACAACTGATTGCTGTTTTAGTTTTATGAGAAAATATACACCAGTAATCTTAGGCTCTGCATATAAGACAATACCTAGCAGAACAGGAAATACTTTTCATTTAAACGGTAAATCATCATGTCTATCAATGTTTTATCTCAATATTGACCTCGTTTAATCGTTATCACCTGTTCATTTACCTGAATTCACTGAAGGGATACAATGTAACTATTTTTCCGAGTAAGACAAACATGTTTTTATTGCCAATGTGGGGATTGTGTATGTGCTGGTGATGTGCTTCATTCCAGTTGTAGACGGGTAGATAATTTAGTGTCGCCTGCAAGGCGGGGTCACTTTATAGACAGTGTGTCCGCTTCATGTGGGAGGAAAGCCCAAAATGATGCAGGTCTCAGACGTTTACCGCTTTGATGAACCGAGGAGCAGGTGTATAGTGCTGACAAACCTAGAAACACAATCGGGACGAACTGGGATTTGAACCTACAGTCATAGGTTTGCCCAAGGGATGCAACTCTGCACACAGAATTACGACAAATGCTGAATGTGACATTTCTTGAAGTTTGGACCGCAAAGAAAAATGATAAATAAATCCAGATAATGTCTTGGCTTTAACATTTTACAACTTATCAGATTGCCCCATACCCCTGTTTATTTTACAGCTATTTTTAACGCTTAAACTGCATTTCCAATCATCAAATTATTGACCCAAGAGTTAAAAGAATTTAGATGATGACAGTTAAATGACAATAATCAGCAAAAAGAAGAAGTTTGAAATGAAAACTCTGATTTGAAATGAAACCAGTTTAAATTGTCTGACTGGTGGATTGAGTATGATGCCAGACAGATCGTGAAGATCACCAGCACAATCTCACCTGTCACCCTACCCACCACATCAGTTCCAAGGCTGTTATATATAGAGGGTAATCATGTGCTGTGATCACGCAGTTCTAACTGTAGGCTCCAGACACTGGCGGAGTCACTCTCATCATCTGATTGATGCCTGTCACTAATTTAGTGCCACATTAGTGTGTTGGATATCAATGTTATTAAGTGGTGTGTGTTTCATGGGGATATCTGCTGCAGTGAAATATAGTATTTTTGATGTGTTTGTAATTGATGGGGTTGCTCTATTTGTGGGAGGTTGAAGCACATTTCAAGTTGACTCCCAAGAT